TAAGCACATATAAATACTAACCTGGAATTTTGTTTTGCATAAAACAAAGAAAAACAGTTAAGGCCCTAATGTGGAAATGGAGGCAGGAACAAGGAGAATATTAGACCAGTCATGAATCTCCCAAAAAACTGCCAATCTTATGATGTGTAAGGATATCATTGGCTATTGGTGAAGTAACAATAGCAGAATCAGGCAATGTAAGGTATTTGCTGACCAGAAGTACAAAAAAGTGTCAAAGTCACAACATGACCACATTCTCTACATTAAAAGCAAAAGCAAGCTTATCTTGTACTTCGCTGTGCTGTTTCCCTCACCCTTACAGTTTCCATACAGTAGTACGTAATTAGTTTTCAACTGCTGAAGGCTCTGAGAAGGGCACAAAGACCTCCCAGAATGAGTACTTGGTGAAAACAAAGAAGCTAACCTGGCCACTGCTGTAGACAAGCTGTATCACCGGAAAGTCTTTCACAGTGTTTGCATCATCAGCAGGTACAAACCTTGGAGGTACAATCAGGATTCACTCAAACACTGGAAAAGTGAAGTAAAAGCGTATTAGCTTCACATAAACCACAGCAAACTGTGTTCAGCACATATATAAACTTCCTCCAAATTCTTTGTGTAGCGGCCTATTGGTTTTGAAACCGATAATGTTTTGCAAGAAAATTCAATGTTAGGAGACAAGAAAATCACTCAAGGAGAAAATATAACTAAAGAACATTTATTTATTTTTCACTAAGACTTTATCTTGAGGACATAACTAAACTGTGTTACCACCCCCCACCCCATCCTGAAGAAGGGTTAGTACAGTGAATGTTATAAAGCAGATATGGACAGTTTGAAAGATTGGAACCAACATTAACTGACAAACAACTTCCATCTAAATCATCATAAAAATGTTTAATTAAAAAAAAAAGGGTAAAAGGAAAAAAGGGGGGCAAAGGGGGTTTCAGATTGAACAAGATCCTCACATTTTATCTAATATATTCAATCTTGGCTAGAGTGTAACAAAATGGAAACAGGATTACTATAATACAAAACTTTCACTACAGCACGCTGTACACACCTGTGTTCCAAGCCCACCCCCACCCCCCTGATGTTTCCAACTCAATTATTTCCCGGCCTGTTGGGCCTGCCGACGAAGGAGCACATAGATCTTCTCTTTAATCCAGTCTTTGTTATAAGGCTGGTATGTCTGGGTATCAGCTCGGTAACTGAGGAACAGAAAGGCAACAGGTAAAGTTATAGTGGTCAATTACAGTCATGTGCTTAAAGTCCCAAATTATAACTACCCAATAATGGCAAAGGTATGCACATTTCTATAAATGAACTTAATGAAAAGTTGAAAGAGCTGCTTACATAGCTGTTGAATTTTAAGCCATATGAATTTTAGATTACCTAGTACAATCTTACAGGAGAAAAAGAAACCAACACCTAGAGCTCGTTAGTTAAATGCTCTGTAGCAAGACACAGTGGCCTTGTGCCTATAATCCCAGCTATTTGGGGGGCTGAGGTGGGAGGATTGCTTAAGTCAAAGAGTTCAAGGCTGCAATGGGCTATGATCATGCTACTGCACCCTAGCCTGGAAGGGAGGAAAAACAAAACAAAACAAAACAAAAAAACCCAACTCAATACGTAAAGAGTATGACCAGAAACCATGTGTTTTTTCTCCTACATAGTTTCTATTTTTAAGGTCTCTTTAGTTATTAAAAAACAAAAATCGGTACAAACTTTAGAACTGCTAAGTTTATTTTAAATTAACTAAAAAGCTTTTAAAAACATACTACTGCAACAAAGATTTCTTGCTGATTATTTCCCCCGTAAAGTATTAAGAGAAAGAAATCTTATAACCTGTTTTATGATTTGCTTTTTAAAATAAATAATACTAAAGGCCTATGCAGAATTATCAGAGGACACAGCAAGCCCCAAAATGTCTCTAATCAGAAAAGAAGGGCAAGGAGCACAAAAACTAACACTAGCAGTAAAACTCCAATGGGACTCTGA